AATGCTAGTATGTCTGTTCCTGATTATAATGAATATTTTTGGTGTGTTTGTGTGTGTGGGATTCGTGCACGCTTATAGGGGCGTTTATCCATTTTGGGCGTTAGTCATATATATATATATAATATATTAAAACTGATTCACAAAAACACCTCAAAGTATTTATTATAACAGAGACAATAAATAGTATTACACAAATCCAACATTACCTCATATAGTAGTATGCGTATATATATATATATATATATATATTGACAATTATTTTAATATATTTTCTGCTTTAGTTCGCTCGCTGGGATAGACTGTTCTAGTTCCACGTGCCATGTCTAACTGACGTCAATTATCAGTTATCTCCCCTTAATTCCCCTTTCCAAGTCCTCCACCAACTTAACACGGTATTGAACTCACACTCTTTGGGTCCTCTCGTTGTATCTAACTAATGCCATTATCCATTGTGCCTTGTGTCCTTGAGTACATCTGTATGTGAATTTCTGGGTATTATAAACCTAATGTCTTCAGCAAGCTATTTTTTTTACAAGTGCTCATATTGCAATTTTTTTATGTTATCATTACATGTTTTTACCAGAGCTAATATTGCAATTTTCTTCGTTGTTATTGCTCTTCTCCGGTACTCCTTATTACTGGTTCCCATATTGTATTCATTTCTATGCTTGGTCGGCTCAGGAGATTTTTGTGGTCTCGCATATGTGCTGATTGCTTATGTTTACGAATTTTTCAATGATGTTCTTTTTCTGTGATTTCAACATGATCCCACAGAGGGCGGTGATCTCCCTTCTCTCTCCGTATGTGGTCAGCCACGCCTGATTTTTCCACTTCCCCTAGTGTTACAGCTTTCTGGTGTTCTTGAAGCCTTATCTTAAAGAGGACGGCCTGTCCCCCCCCATTATATTTCTTTCCGCATCTGCACGGGATGGCGTACACACAGTCTTTAGAGTTGTTCACCTCTCTTGGGGGGGGTCTTATTCAGGAGGGATATCTGCGAATTGTCGTCCTGCTTTTAAGGTTGCCCTAATATTATATGAACCGCAGACCTTTTGTATTTTTCATGCGTACAAGAGGAGGACAACAACACTCAGAAAACAGTCTGCCTGCTTCATGTGAAGTGGTTATCAGAAAAATACACTCCCGGAAGGATGCCATAGGCGTAACGATGAGACGATTTTCCTGCTCACTCGGTGGTATTGGCCGGTAAACTGTAATCGTTTTGGTTTTAGCTGAAGAGAGATTGGTCTTAGTTCTCCGTAAATTGTGCAAAGTGTTGCATGGGGACTCCAAATGATTTTTCTAAGTAGATTTGTATATGTTTCATTCAGTCGCCATAATGTCGCTTCCATCTGTATTTCCTATAAATATTTTCATGTCAAATGTTCTAATGATCTCTCATCCTCCCCATCATCATCATCCTTCGACCTCTCTATGGTTGATCGGAATTTCATTGACAACCCCTTTTCACACTGTATAGTCCTCACCTTCAAGATTCAAAATGATTTATGCGGTTTGTAAAGGATCATTTAGTTTTCCACTAGGAACCTCTTTTCCACGAGTGTTACGTTGTAAGCCTTTAGCTATTTCAAAAGAAGGATTTGTCATGTAATCGGTCCTGATCTGGCATCTCGTCTCGCCATAATGCCACTTCCATCTGTATTTTCTATAAATATTTTCATGTCAAATGTTCTAATGAGCTCTCCTCCTCCTCCTCCTCCTCCTCCTCCTCCCCATCATCATCATCCTTCGACCTCTCTATGTTTGGACAGAACTTCATTGACAACCCCTTTTCACACTGTTTGGTCCTGCAGTTTAATTCACAAATCCCCAATGCCCAACCCTGGTGTCAGGGAAAGTCAGTTTTCGTGAGAAGACACTTCCAGAAGGATGCCATAGGAGTAAGGATGAGACGATTTCTCTGTCCGCTCAGTGACAATGGCCGGCAAACTGTAACCTTTCTTTAAGTTTTTGTTTGAGCTTAAGATAAGCTCAAACAAAATATAAGATAAGTTTAAGATAATTAAGAAAAGTTTAAGATGAGCTTAAGAATTATTTAATATCACTGTCAAATATCCGATGTATTCTATTAATATTGGCGTAATTAAATACACGTATTCATAATAAACTTATTACTAAAACATTTTTATAATTATTTATTGATATAACTATATTTAGGAAACATTAAACAACGAGACCATTCTTCTGATTCGAAAAAAAATTTCGTTATGTACAAATAATAAAATCTGTCCTCAAGTAGCACATCTATCTGACTCCGACGGCGCAGAATATAGAACAATGTGCAAACTGGACTTTGATTTTTCTAATTTCTGCCTGTGTTTCTATGTGTGGTTCAAAATCATATATGCGGTCTTAAATCTGCCGCCCTTTTACATGCGGACAGAATGTTGCAAGCCTATTGCTATTCTTTTGAGAGTACCTGTGTCCTTCTCATATGCTTTTATCTTTACAAGAATCAGACTAGACTAAAATTGCAGAATTGCCCGGCTGGAGATGCATGGTCCTCACCTTCAAGATTCAAAATGATTTATGCGGTTTGTAAAGGATCACTTAGTTTTCATCTAGGAACCTCATTTCCACGGGTGTTACGTTGTAAGCCTTTAGCTATTTCCAAAGAAGGATTTGTCATGTAATCGGTCCTGATCTGGCATCTCGTCTCGCCATAATGTCGCTTCCATCTGTATTTTCTATAAATATTTTCATGGCAAATGTTCTAATTAGCTCTCCTCCTCCTCCTCCTCCTCCTCATCATCATCATCCTTCGACCTCTCTATGGTTGGTCGGAACTTCATTGACAACCCCTTTTCACACTGTTTGGTCCTGCATTTCAATCCCAAAATCCTTAATGTCCAACTCTTTTCGTGAGAAGACACTTCCGGAAGGAAGCCAACGGAGTAAGGATGAGACGATATCTCTGTCCGCTCGGTGGCAATGGCCGACAAACTGTAAATCGTTTTTGTTTGTGCTTAAGACTGATTGGTCTCAGTTCTCCGTAAATTGTGTTATGTGTTGCATGGGATCTTCAACTGATGTTCTGGATTTTTCTAAGTAGCTTTGGATATGTTTCATCCAGTCGTCTTTCAAGACGAAGAGATAATGTCAAAAGTTTCTGATTCATACAATAGGACTCGTTTAGTCAACGTTCGAAAGATTTTGGATGGAAAATTCGAGCTCTTCTACTTGGTACTCTGGCTTAATGAATTTAAGCGAGCTACTAGATTAGATTGAGCGTTTTGGTGTAATAGATATCGACTCAGAGTGAAAACTCGGAGAGCCGAGTTCGAATTTCAGTCGATTTCGTTAGATTCACTTACGCACAAATACCCTTGGAATCAATCTCTTCTCCCCAACGATGGGTTAAATAGAAGGACAGGCTGGGTTCTTAAGCATTGGTTGAATAGCAGGACAGACTGTGTCCATAAGCATTGGTTGGCAACCAGTCTACCACAGAAAGAAACGGTAACCTACTGCGGGAAAAAATTGACTAGTCAGTCAAGTATCGAAAAGATTTCACTGTAAGATCTATGCTAACAGCTTTTTCTCACGTATTACTCTGTCATGGAAGTCTCTTCTGGCTTCTTCCTTTTCTTGCTTTTTTTAAAATTAGATTTGTATATATGCCATCCATTCGTCTTTCAAGAAGAACTTACAATGTCCAAGTTTTTTGATCCATACAGTAGGACTGTTTCAATTAATGTTCGAAAGATTTCAACTTTTAAGCAGGAAAGAAGACACACAAAATAACATATGCTTGTATAGCATGTGCGATTAAAGTGTCCGATGATTTCCTGCTTTGAGTCTGTGTGTGTCTGTTTGCGCAATCTCGTGGCAACGTATGTTTGTGTAAAGTCGTGTACATCTGCTTCTGTGCAAAGAATACCCGCTCGGCCCGGTGGCTAGGATCAAAGTGTAGTATCTGCGCTTTGTGAGCTGCCGGGTCGGGTGTCTGTCGAACTCTCTGCTTGCAGAGAGGAACCCGGACGAAGCTCCGCCGAAGGGTAGAGTTTCGTTGGGGGAGTTTGACGGAACTGGCCCGCCTCGGCGTGTTTGGATGGTTATTTATTTTTGGCTGGGCCTACGGGCTCAGAGATACCCACATTAAAAAGGCCTTGTGCCACATTTGATCCCCGTGGGTGGATTGATAAATACCATCTGCTTCTGTGCATGTGTGCGCTTCAATGTTTGCGACTTGTTCTCTGTTTTGACTTTATTCTCTGTCAACTTTTTGTTAAACGAATAATTAGAAAATCTTGCGCAAAAGTTCACGGAGAGTTCGGGTTCACCTTGTTGCGTTGTTCAATACCTGGCAAAAGTCCGAGTTGTAGCGTTTTAATGAGATGCTTCATTATTTATATGACCATCGTCTGATTTATCTCTGTCAGTCTGTTCATATCTATCTATCTATCTATCTATCTATGCAAGTCTGTTGATCTATATCTCATCTGATAATTATCTATCTACCTATCTATCTATTGCAGCCTCTCCATAAAGATCCGCGTCTCTTTGTCTCTCTCTCTCTCTTTTATATATATATATATATATATATATATATATATATGTGTGTGTGTGTGTGTGTGTGTGTGTGTGTGTGTGTGTGTGTGTGTGAAAAACTCATGATCTATCCAAACCCAATATATAAATATATCTATAACATATATATATATATATATATATATATATATATATATATACACACACACACACACACACACACACATATATATATATATATATATATATATATATATATATATATATGTATCAGAATCCATCTAGAATTTATCTATATATATATATATATATATATATATATATATATATATATATATATATTAGGTTGGTGCAAAAATAATATGTATTAATGTCGTTTTTGACGTTAAAAATACGTCAAAAACGACATTATTACGTCATTTTTTTTGCAGCAACCTAATATATATATATATATATATATATATATATATATATATATATATTTCAATATGTTCCTATCTATCTATCTATCTATCTACCTATCTATCTATATAAACGTACGCTGGGAAGCCTTTATTCGTATAAGGAGAGGCAGGTTCGATTTAAGCTGAATACGCATTTTCTTTTATTAAATTCTCGATCATTAGATGAAAACGAATACTCTGTGTCTAATAAACACAGACGTCTACTCAAACACGTGTATCCACTAAATATAACCTTTAATTAATAATAAATAATATCGGACAATGGATAAAAATCCGTAAACCTTTTAAAAATTTCTATCTATCCTGTCTATTAATATGCCTTTTTTCTTCCTCATCTGTAGTAAAGAAAAAATATTGGCTTCATCTTAATACGAGAAAAATTACTAACACATACCCTTCGATCATAGGATGACAACAAAATGCCAACAAGAAAAATATTAAGAAGAAAAACACCAAATATTTAAAAATATTTTTCTTAGAATTCCACAGCAATTCTTCTTCTCTGCCTGCCATGTCTCTTCGTGACACTTAATAAATTTTGCTTTGTCATTATTTACCCTAAACGCTGTCCCGCCAATCAATGAGCCAGTCTCGATAGGTAGGTTATGAGTTGCTTTCCTTTGTCCCAATTGCCTCCAATCTATCATGTGAGTATCAATTTTCCCAAGCCGTCTTTTCTCATTATGTGCCTAAGAATCTTTAATTATCTCTTCTTGATGTTAAATCTATGATTTCTTTTTATTTACATTTTCTCTAAAGCCTCACCTTTTCTCATATCTTTGTATGATCAGCATCATTTTTGTTGCTTGAAGTTTCGTCCTCAACTTTGAGGAGATTGTCCAGCATTCACTGCCATAGAGGAAGACAGATATCACGTTAAAGTTCAGTATTATTTTCTTTATAAAAACTAGAAAATACATAACTACATAACATTTTTTTTAAACATTTCAACTCCAAGCAAGGCCACAACACCATCAGTACGCAGGGGGTGGCTCTACTGGGAGTGAGACTAAAGGCAAATGAGAAGACTGTGAATAGGGAGCATTGAGGAAAGGACAAATAAACAGGGTTCAAGAAAAAGGAATACGGAGATTGACGTTGTATTTTAAGTTTTTGAAGATTGTAGTTAATAGGGATGCAAGAAATAGGAAGGGTTTTCCACAGGTTAGAGTAGAAGTGCCGGGTACATGTAGCAGTAAAACAGTGAGACCTACTTGCTAATCTAGTAGCACGCTTAACTTCATGTAGTTGTAGCACTGGAAAAAATCTCATCTGAGCGTTGCCATGAAAATATTTATAGAAACGACAGAAGGAAGCCACATCAGGTCGGTGAGAAAGTGACTGGAGACGAGATGCCGTATCAGGACTGTTTTTATTGCAGACACCTCTCTGGATTTTCTTAAGTGTCTCTAGATCCAGACCACCAGACCAGATATGGCAACAGTATTCAATACACGGACGAATGGCAGATTTATAAATGTGTAAGCTGGATTCTGACGGAAATAAGCTATGGCACGACACAATGAACCAAACGTCTTTGTAGCAGACCAAGCAATTGATTCATTTCACTTCATGTCAGTGGAAAACCTGAGGTCAAGAAGGCGTAGAGTGTGGCTCTCCTGGGGTTCAGCATCAGACACCCTATGTAATATTTTAAATGAAAACTATACTACTAATACAGAGACAATTCTCCACGGTACTAATGAAAGTTTCAAAAATCCTTTTTTCATTTTCTAATTTTTTACTTCTATATTCTTTAAAAAAAAATTTATTTTTTATTTTTCAGGCGTTGGAATCACGCTCTTTGTCACAGATGATTCTTATAAGATATTTTTTTTAACGCCATCGTCAAGTTAACTTTATTTTTAATGTTTTTGTTTATTATATTGGAAATTTTGTGTTCTTTTTTCTTTATTTGATACGATTTGCCTTTGTTGTTTTCTGGAGAAAAAAAAAATTCAAAACATTCCTTTACGTGTGCGATTTGATGGTTGGGCAGCACGTGACCTGAGCCACAGTTCACAGTTGCTTCCACACGTGGGACTTTTCCCGCCTTAGCCATTACCATTGGGACCCTAACAGAACGAATAACGAAGTGTTTTCGATTAATACAATTGCGACTTGTTAATACTTTATCACCTGCGTTTTCGGCTTGTCCAATTTTTGCCACTTTATTTTTTTTTTTATGTAGGTTTGTTTTGAGTCGTTATGTCGCAACATCTTAGTCAATACTAATCTGTCAACGACAGATATTTATAAAGGACGTGCTTTTGTTTGTTTTTAGTTTATTTTGAATCATTTCACCCCAAGCAAGGTGGGAGTGCCACTACCTCGCAAGGGTTACAGAGAGTGAACAACCGAGATATAATAACCAAATGCCAGCTCTTTTGAGCACTTTTGTATCCGAGACTGTATCTTGTCATTTAATTTTTAAAATATTCTTTAAAAATCGTTATATTCACTTACACGCAAATATCTTTGGGAAAGATACAAATCTAGCTCTTCTCCTTCCATCTATTGGTTAATGAAAGACTTGTTTCAGTGCATGATTATTATTTTCAAAAGGTTCTTACAATCTCAAAATATTTTCTGGCTTTAAGTAACATGCAAAAGGTTGATAAACCGTAAAAATCAAATCAATCATTCAATCCATCTTTAACAAAAATCTCAATTTTAAAAAGTTAATATGGGGGCAAACAGCCTGTATACAGATAGAAAATGAGTTCAGTAAATATTCAAAAATAGAAAGGAACCTAAGACAAGGATGTGCCGTCTCACCAGACCTATTCAACTTTTTCAGTGAAGCAATCTTGAGAGAATTATCCGTTCTATATGAATTCATTATTGTAGGTTAAAATTTAGATATGTCGATAGCAGAATGTTGATAGCCGCTGCTAAAAGAAAAGTGCAGGGACTTTTTGTAGAAAGTATTGAAAGAAAGCGAGAAGAAAGGACTAAAGCAATTTTTTGAAGACAGGTGTATGGTTGTCAGCCAACGAAACAGCTTAGCATGCTAATTACAAATTGTAAATGCCAAAAAGAAGCAGGTACAAAAAAAAATCTAAAACTATTTGCTGGCTTTAAATAACCTGCAAAAGGTTGATAAGCTGCAAAAAAACAAAACAAAAAAATCGATTAATCTTGGGATTTTGATACGTTTGATAGATTATCATATCCGATCCCTTTTTTACAAGGTCGGATAACTATTCCTAGACGGATTAGTTTTCTCTATACACTGGATAATCAGATTTACGCATCTTTTCTAGGATTATTTTATTACATTCGGGTTTGTATAGTACTAATCAGTTGTTCTCAAGAGCGCTAGTAACGTTTCTATTTTTTGTTGATTTTTTTGTCTTACAATGCAAGGAATTGCTGCGTATACATGTCACCTGTTGAAACTCAATGCAATCTGTGCACACATCGACCAGCACATCATCAACAACCAAAATATAACTATCAACATAAAACTAATATTAGTGGATAACACCAAAATGCAATAGAGCACTTATTGCAAGGAAAGATTCGAATGCCTATTAGTATACAAAATAAACAACCCGGAATAAATAAAATGTTATTCACCACAGAATACGGTACCTTGAAATATATATATATATATATATATATATATATATATATATATATATATATATATATATATATACAGGGAAAATAAATATTCGTACACTTGAAAAATTGTATTTTTATAAATTAAAGACATTTTTTGTGTTTAACGTTGTTATTTATAGATACAAGTATTTAAGAAAACTCTTTTTTATGAAAACAGTATTAAATAACATTTACCGGCCTGAATGTCCGAGAAATTTTCATTTAAAATATTGTTTACAGGAAACAGAGCATTTGCTTAAATAAATGTATCTATAAATAAAACGTTAAACATAAAAAAATGTCTTTAATAAATAAATTGTCGGACCTTGTCCATTTCTTAATATATTTTTATAAATGTAATAATCTTAAATAAAACAAATATCGGTACATTTTATGTATAAAGACACATACTATTAAAAATAATATAAAACTTAATTCTTATTCTAACAGAAATTAATGTATTTTTTAAAATTCTAACTGGTTAAAAAAGTATTCGTACAAATCAATTATTAGAATAAACTAATCAATTAATTATGCAAAAAGTATATTCTAGAATGTTCCAGCAATGTTATCAGTAATTATAGTTAACGCTATTAACCATTATCAGAGCATTCTGCAATTTCTAGTCTTACGAGAAGATTCTAATAATGCCTAAAGGTAAAGAATTGACTATTTCACAAAAACAACACATTTTGTCTCTTTGAAAAGATGGGAACAGTTACAGAACGATTTCTAACAACCCGAATTTATACCTTTACTACAACTGCTTCGTTCATTGCAAGGTTTAAAACTCGTAACAGCGTCGAAAACAAAAGATGAACAGGTGCCCCGACGAAGATTTCTCTAAGATCAGCATGGATATTAGGACGCCAGATCCAACAAAATCCACAGAAGCGCTGCAGGAACATCTGCCTGCATTAGGGATTAAAGTAACCAAGCTTACAATAAGTAATGAACTACGCACAAACAGTCTGAAATCACGCATCCCAAGGAAGATTCCACTCCTCTTGAAACGAAACAAAGATGCTAGGCTAAAATTCGTTCTAGAGCATAAGGATAAAGAATATTTGTTTTGGGAAAAAAGTACTATGGACAGATGAAACTAAAATAGAGTTGTTTGGTCATAATTATCGAAATCATGTGTGGAGGAAGGACGGTGAAGCCTACTTACCAAAGAACACGTTGCCAACTGTAAAGTTTGATGGTGGCAGTATCATGAACTGGGGCTGTTTTTCGGCAAAAGGTGTTGGCAGAATATCAATAATATATGGCAAGATGAATGCCGAAAGCTACCAGAAAATCCCGCAAGACAATTTAATACGTTCTGTTGAGAGACTTCGGCTACCTCCTGATTGGGTTTTCCAACTGGATAATGATCCTAAGCATACCGCTAGATCTACAAGGAAATGGTTACCTGAAAGTAACTTTGATGTCTTGCAATAGCCAAGTCAGTCCCCAGACTTGAACCCAATCTAGAATTTATGGCGATATTTGAAAATTCAAATTGGGAAAAGAGCACCAACAAATATCAAGAATTTGAAGACAATATGCCAAGAAGAATGGGACAAAATACTACTCAATGTGTGCAAATCATTAGTTGAGACGTACAGGAATAGACTGGTAGCTGTTGAACTCAATAAAGGATATTCCACAAAGTATTAAATTAAGTTAATATGCTTTTTTGTTTTGTACGAATACTTTTTTCATCAGTTAAAATGAAAAAAAAATGCATTCATTTCTCTTAGAATAAGAATTAATTAGTTTATTACTATTTTTTTAATAAAATATATCTTGACACATGAAATGTATCAACATTTGTTTTAGTTAAAGCTTTTACATTTATAAACACACAATTTTTCAAGTGTACGAATATTTATTTCCCCCACTATATATATATATATATATATATATATATATATATATATATAAAAATCCTCTTCTGACCCACATACAAGGACCAGTTTTTTTTTTAATTTTATTTTTTAAGTAAATCCCATCCAAGCAAGGCGGGAGTGACATTAGCACACAAGGAGTTACACACACACACACACACACACACACACACACACACACACACACACACACACACACACACACAGATAGAGGGAGAAAGAGAGTGAGAGAGAAATGAGTGTTTGAGGAAAAGATAAAGAGTAGATATGGGATCAAGATCAAGGCATCACAAGATGTCGAATGACGTTACATATACATTTTTGAAGATTATAGTTCTGAGGGAAGCAAATAAGAGGAAAGGAGCTACTTTGTCTGGAAGTGCGAGATAAGAAGCTGTTGGAGTAGAAGAGGCAGTTACATTTAACTGTTTCGATAGTAAAAGGGTGGGACCGAGGTGCCAACCTAGTAGCACGCTTAAATTCATGCAGTCGGATCGCCAGTGAACGTAGCTCGTCAGAGTAGTTGCCATGAAAATATTTGTAGAAAAGACAGAGAGAAGCCACATCACGTCTGTGATAAAGTCGAAATGCCAGGTTAGGACGTATCACATACTTGGATTTTGTCGAGTACCTTGGGATAACAGCGTGGGCACCAGATCAAGTTGAAGGATAAACTCAGAAGACAAAAAAAAAACCTTCTGGTGCGACATAGAGATCCAAATTTCCTTGCAGTCGATGAAGCTATTGATTCAATGTACTTTTTCACCTCAAAATTGCATCTTTTGAAATCTCATACATTCAAATGTAGTTCCTGAAGGTTTCTTCCAAACACTTTAAGAAAACATGTGGTAAATTCGACATTTTTGAAACGCATTCTGAGAGGATCTACTGTTCATTATTACAATTATTATTTTATTGGAATATGAGCACTGGTAAATATGGGTGTTGAAGCTATTAAGTTTACAATACACAGAAATTGATAGTGTAAGTTCAATACCTGGTTAAGACGGTGGAGAACTTGGAGAGGGAAATTAACAGGAGGTAACTGACATCCATTTGACGCGGCACGTGGAACTAGAACAGTCTAACCCATTGAGAAAATTCCAAACACTTGAAGAAGGCCGGAGCGTACAACGGCCGAAACGTTGTAATAAATATGGCGGCAAAGATGAGGAAAATTGTCTGAATAATGTAAATAGTGTAGATTTAATCTATTATATTATTATTTGTTTTTTATTACATTTTGGGTCGATGCATTCTTCATTATTCGAAATACTTTATTTGATTTAATAATGATTGATTTAAAAAAAAAAATTCTGGGTTTCATAATTTCCTTAATTTTATTATCAGTGAAATCAGTGACCTTTGTGAAAGATATTTGAAAGATTCCTGTTTGCCATCTCCATGGTGAAACTAAAAGTTGTTTTTGGATCTTGTTTTTTCCCACTATTGGAGTGTGATGTCCAGAACGGAGAATAGATCAACTGCCAGTCTCTAACCATCTAGACTATTGGAGAGGCGCTCTCAAACCGTGGTATCATCTACACATAATGAAACTTTACTAGATTTATGTCGAATTATTAAATGATAGAAGTCGATCTTTTCAACATTTAAATGTAAAGTCCAGGGCAGACAATAGATAAGCTGTCAAGCCCTGGTCGTCTAGAATTTTTGAAGGCGCATTCACAGACGGTAGTTTTGTCTGCATATAATGAATTGTTACTAGCGTGGATTGCGTGTTATTAAATGATAGAATTTGGTCTTACTCCCATTGAGCTGTGAGTTTTAGGGCAGAGGAAAGATGCCTGTCTGGGGATCCAGATTTTTGTAGGGGTACTTAAAAAGGCGTGGTATCATTTGTACATAATGAAACATAACTACCTTGGATTTCAAGTTACTAAATGATAGAAGTCGATATTTTCCCCATTGAGCTGTGAGGTCTGTGTCAGCGGAGAGGTTAGTTGTCAATCTTGGAGGAACACATACTGTCGTCTGCATTTGATGAAAAGTTACTAAATCGGTATTTTACTTATTATCGCTTTCAAATATTTCATATATCCCACGTAATTGTTTTCAACATTGTTTTTATGGATTTTGTAAGCTTTACTCTTCGATTTAAATCGCAAATAATTCGGATTTTGTATGAGTTTAAAGGTATTTCCTCAGGAAAATATTGAGGGTCACGTGTTCCGAGAGCTCTTTAGAAGAAACAGAATAATATTTGTTTTTTTTTTAATTTATTTATTATAAATGTAAGTATAAATATTCTGTTTTTTTTTTATTAAATTATCTTGAATTTACAGTTTTCAAATGGGCAGATATATTTAGTTGAACCAAAAGTAATTTCCACGGAAATGATTTGTTGATTAACTGGTAGAAGATACACGCTCTCTCTCTCTCTCTCTCTCTCTCTCTCTCTTTCTCTCTCTCTCTCTCTTATTCTGTCAGCCTTTCTTTTTCGGGTCATGTTCCTTGAAGATAGGTTCTCTTTCAGACTTTCATTTTATTCCAGAAATCCTTTATAATTCTTTTTGTCTATATGATACTTGATCTCCTATCAACTTGCCCAAACTTATTGTTATACTGGAACACACCTATTCTATTGCTAATAGACTCTTCCACCTATAATAAGTAGTAGCAGTTGCTAAGTCGCTCAGTGAGTTGTTCAGTCAGTCAATGTCGGACGACCGTTAGTCGGATACTAAAGTATCAGCGACCACCACTAGATTTCTCTGCGTCCTTATCTATTATATTAAGTTCCTAACGTTTTGTACGTCGAACCTATTTTAAGACCGACTTAATGAAATACAAGCCTCCACTGTGAAATTAATCTACAACACTTATCACATATGTTTTCTTGATGTTCCAACTTATTCGTTTCACTCTTGATATTTCATAAGCGGCTTAAATTCTCTAAGCCTTCTTTCCTCCACAAAAAATTAGCTGTATCTTTCTGATTGTTATCAGCAATTTCTTCGTAAGTTCTATTTTTAAATATTTCTCGATTCTAACATAATACGATCTAGGTATTCCTCAGTTTCTTTCTTTCTTTTTCTTTCTTTCTATCTCTCCTCCTCCTTTTCTTTTCTTTTCTTTGTTTCTTTCTTTGTTTTTCTTTCTATCTTCACTTCTTTCTCTTTTCTGTCATTCTTTCTGTTTTTCTTTCTTTCTTTCATTCTTTGTTTCTTTCTTTACTTCGCTTTTCTTTCTTTCTTTCTTTCTTTCTTTCTTTACTTCTCTCTCTTTTCTTTCTTTTTCTTTCTTACTATCTACACTCCTCTCTCTTTTCTCTCTTTCTTTCTTTTTTTACTTCTCACTCTTTTCTTTCTTTCTTTCTTTCTTTCTTTCTTTCTTTCTTTCTTTCTTTCTTTCTTCACACCTCTCTCTTTTTTGTCTTTCTTTCTGTCTTTCTTTCTTTCTTTCTTTACTTCTCTCTTTTTTCTTTCTTTCGTTCTCTCTATTTCTTTCGTTCTCTCTCTTTCTTTCGTTCTCTCTCTTTCTTGCTTTACTTTTCTCTTTTTTCTTTCTTTCTTTTTCTTTCTTTCTATCTTCAGTCCTCTCTCTTTTCTGTCTTTCTTTTTTTACTTCTCTCTCTTTTCTTTCTTTCTTTCTTTTTTTCTTTCTTTCTTTCTTCACTCCTTCCTTTTTCTTTCTATTTTATTTTTTCCTTCTTCCTTTCTTCACTTCTCTCTCTCTTTTCATTCTTTCTTTCTTCATTTATTCATAAATTTATATTTTTCTTCCTTTCATTCTTTCCTTCTTTCTTCATTCTTCTTGCTTTTTCCTTCTTTCTTGCTTTCTTTCTTTTTATTTTCCCTTTTACAATTCATTTTTTCTTCTTTTTTCATTTCTCTCTTTCCTTGTTATTCATCAAATGCTATCTTTATCTTTCTATTTTCTTCCTCTTGATTTGTGACAATATTGTCAAGAATTCCCAGCTATAAAAAAAGATTAGATACTCTTTTTTCATCACTAACTTTCTTGATTTCTAAATGCCATCTTTCGCTTTTCCTCATCCACTTCAAATCTCTACATCACATCCTCCTTCAGTTGCTATTAAACTCCACTGTTAGATTTTGACGTCCCCAATGTGTAAATCTCATACTGGGTTGTCCCTTTTGTTAGCAACCACATATTCAGTCTTTAATGCGAAAAAATTCTTATTTTAGTTAAGTTACCATTCTTTTTCTTTTTCCCTCGTATGAATCATATATTTTGGTAGGAAGTTTTCGCACGATAAGTTGTTAAAGTAAACAATTTTTATTGTTCAATTTATCACAGTCTGTAGTGACAATCTGACACTATGCTCTGCAAACTTTGCTGAGAGTCTATGACATTTTTTTTTATTTATTCAGGACGATGTCCATTTTTGCAGGCAAAACAGATGGCTGGACTTGTAGAACGAAGCAATTGGGGCGTGAATAACACTGCTCGGAATTCGGGGAACCAGCCACCGATCAAGATTCATCTCACAACTAATACCTTATCCAGACACCTACCCACACTCAGCACCCATAGACAGGAAAATATTTCTGCATCTCTTACTGCATTATTGAGAGGCTTTGACATTGCCACGTTATATTCTTTTCTTATTTATGCTGTCTTTTTTAAATTTATTTTACAGTGATTTCATTTGTTACCATTGATTTCTTTTTTTCTTATTCTTCGCTTTCTTTTTTAACATATAACTTTTTCTTTCTTATTTCGTTCTTTCTCCATTTTTTGTTCATCATTTAATTCATTTATTTTTTTCATTGTTCAGTTTATTTCTTCATTATTTATTTTTCGTTCTTTCTCTCTTTCTTCCTTTTTTTCTTTCGATCTTTTTTGCTTTCTTTCTTTCTTTATCATTATCATATTTCTTATTCACTAAAATCCTTCATTTCTTTATTCACATTCTTTCTTTTTGTTCATCATTTAATTCATTCTTTTCTTTATTATTTACTTTTCTTTATTTCTTCTTATTCATTTTTCGTTCTTTCTTTCTTTCTTTCTTTCTTTCTCTCTCTCTTATTTCATTTTTTCTTTCTTTAGCATTCACCCCGTTGACATATTTATTCATAGATTTTTTTTCTGTCGCATTGACTAATTTGATATTATTTTATCACACTTTTTTCCTTCTTTCTTTTCTCATTTCTCGTTTAACTTTTCTTTCTTCTTTCCATTCTTTTTACAGTCTTTCTTTCTTTATTTCTCGCTCAACTTTTCTTCCGTTATTTACTATTTTCTCATTTTTTAATATCCCTTCATTTTTTCTCAGTTCCTGCTCCTCCTTTCTTTCTTTCTTTCTTTCTTTCTTTCTTTCTTTCTTTCTTTCTTTCTTTTCTATTTTTCTCTTTCTTTCATCTTCCAGTTCTTCAGCCGGATGTCAATTTTTTCTTTCGTTCTTTCTTTTCTTCCTTTATTCTCACTTCTATTTTTTTTAATTCTTTTTTTGTTTACACTTTCACTTCTTTTAACTTCTTTCTTTTCTTTCCTCCTTCTTTTACATCAGTCTATGTTTTCTCCTTTTTTTGTTTTCTCATTTTTCAATCATCATTTTTTCTTTCGTTCTTTCTTTTAATTTTTTTCATGAATCCCTCATTCATTCTCTACCTTCTTTCTCCTTTTATCATCTTCTCTCTTTATTTTCATTTTTTTATACAGCCGTCCTCTTTATTTTCTTACTTCTGGTTTAACTTTTTCCTTTTTTATTTCTTTTTTTAAAAAATAATCTGTATCACTCTCTCACAGACGTGCCGTCGCCTCTCTCTGTCTTTTCTACAAATACTTCCATGGTAACTGCTCTGATGAGCTGCTCTCTCTGGTTCCCAGACTCCATGAATTCAAGCGCCCTACGAGGCTGGCATCCCGCTCTCACCCTTACACCGTAGAAACATTCAAATGTAGCCGTCTCTTCTACTCCAATAGCTTCATACCTCGCACCTCTCGCCAGTGGAACACCCTCCACAATTACTGTTTCTCTGAAAGCTATAATCTCCAACTATTTAAATGTAATGTCAATCGACATCTCCAATTACCTTGATCTACCCACTATCCTTCTCCTCTTCCTTTCTCCTATCACTCTTATCTGCTCTCGCTCCAAATCTTCCGCAACCCCCTGCATCCTAGTGGCTTCACGCCTTGCTTGGGGCACAATGCTTAAAAAAAAAAAAAAAAAAAAAAAAATTCATTCACACACTTTCATTTTATCTAACTTTCTTATCGTCACCATTTTTTTTTATCTTTTCTCCTTTTTCTAAATCCTTTCTTCATTTCTTCCTTTCTTCCTTTTCTTCTTTCTGTTCTCATTTCTCGCTCAACTTTTCTTTCTTCCGTTCTCGTTCAATTTCTGCTATTCTTTTTTTCTTTCTTTCTTTCTTTATTCTTTCTTTCTTTCTTTCTTTCTTTAGTTCTCACTCAACTTTTCTTCTTTCTTTCTTTTCCCATTTTTAAAAATCTAATTTTATTTATTTATTTATTTTCTCATTTCCCGTTTAACTTTTCTTTCTTCTTTCCATTCTTTTTTAGTCTTTCTTTCTTTAATTCTCGCTCAAATTTTCTTCCGTTATTTACTCTCTTCTCATTTTTTAAAATCCCCTCTTTTTTTTCATAGTTCTTGCTCACCCTTTCTTTCTTTCTTTCTTTCTTTCTTTCTTTCTTTCTGCACACTATGACTTTCCACTTCTTTGTTTCTTTCTGCAAACTCTGACTTCCCCTTCTTTCTTTCTTTCTTTCTTTCTTTCTTTCTTTCTTTCTTTCTTTCTTTCTTCAGTTCTCGCTCAACATTTTCTTTCTTACTCACTTCTCGCTAAAGCTTTTTTGTTTTTCCTTAAATCTTAATCAAATGTTCATTCTTTCTTTCTTTCTATTTTTTAAAAAAATTTGATCTTTTTTCAAGCAACATTCAATGAAAAAATGAAGAAAAACACGTAAATGAAAAATATGATACGGCATTATATACGCATAAAAATAAATATCACCAAATAAATAAAATAAAATAAAATAAAGAGAAGTAAGTTCGTCCTCTGTAAATTTAAGACCGCCATTTTCGAGTCAGCTGATTTTTAATAGGACCAAAATCACAAAACCTGGCCTCTGGTCAATGAAAAAATAAAATAAAAAAAGGAATAAAACAATAGTAATCCTATCTTTTCAGACTGACAACGCAACAATAAAGCCTCTAAGCATATGCCGCGTGAGTTCAAATCGCGTTAGGAATTACTTTTTTTATGTTCCTTGCTACTTACTTAATAGCCATAGAATATAAAATGACATGTTAAAAGTTGAGAGAGAGAGAGAGAGAGAGAGAGGGATGGAGGGATGGAGGAAGGGAGAGTGAAGAATAATTAGAGAAAGGAATTTTAGTAAACAATGAAGAAAATGAAGTTAAAATTTAGAAAAGAGATAAAGAAAGAGAGAAATCAATATAAACTTTTCACACTTGAGCTGATTTTAAATATTTGTTAGTATCAAATCCTTAGAATATTCCTGCCACATATGGTCCGGTGCTCCTGTTATTTGCCTTAAGCGCCTTGATGAGATCCAAAGAAGAATTTGCAATATTATTGGTTCTAATCTGGCGACTCGGCTCCAGTTATTTTCCCACCGCCGTAAGGTCAGTTCTCTGTGTCTTTTTAAAATAGTTTCATGGTAATAATTGTTCGTATGGACTCTACCCTATGGTACCTAAAGTTTTTGAATTTAAGCGCAACACTAGACTGGCGTGGAGACCTCATCAATTTACAGCTGATCTGGCTAGATGTAGCCGCAAATTCTATGCTATAAGATTCTTCGTGCGCGTCTCCCTTATGGAACACTCTTGTGGCTCCATACTTTCCAGCCAATTTTAATCTGCAAAAAATTAAATGCATTGTCAATCTCTATCTACCGTCCTCTTGATTACTATCTTGTCTCTCTCAATCACCATTAATGTTTATATTCCGAATTCTTTTACACCCTGTAACACCTTGTGTTTTAGGCTTATTACTGTCTTGCTTGGGGTAATATGATGTCTAAGTAGTTCACCTCTGGCAGTGGTTTACCAACTTCACGCCGTTGGCGAGTATTTTATTTATCTAATGTTATAAAGATTATCATTCCATTTCCAACGCTTGTTTCGGTTATTCCTCATTCAGTATCCCTTTCTCGGTTGCAACAATATATATATATATATATATATATATATATAGAAAAAGTTTCAAATTAAAAATTATAATGTTTTATTTTATGAAAGTATTTATTTATTTATATATATATTTGATATTTCAAATTGTCCTCAATTTTTCATCAGAAATAACTGTTTGTTACAAATAAATTAAAATTACTGTTTGTTGGCAAGTATCGTCCTTCGCGAGACGCGGACGTCACGTGATATGGAACGTCACTGTTCAGATATTCCTAACTTAAATCTGTCATAAATATTTAAAAAATATTTTTTTTACTATATCTAAAGAAATTGCTTAGCTATTGAAATATTTATAAAGATTTAAAACACCTAAGTCCCTATTCAACCCTAATTTATGTGTATTTAATTTTAAAATCCAATATGTTTTTTTTTTCTGCGTGTGAATGTGGAAGTAAAAATCGGAATCTATTAATAAACATTTGCAGTTTTCTAATGTGTGTCCTGATTGATTGTAGTGTTTAGCTATGGGGGAATAAGGGTTGTTTTGACGTATTGTTTGCTTATGGTTATTAAAACGAAATCTAAAATTGTTTCCAGACTCACCAATATATCCACTATTAGGACATAAGTTGCAGAATAAATAATAGATTACGTTATGGGTATCGCAGGTGAGGTTAGGTGGCTGTATCCTGATATTGGTGTTGGGTACGTAAAATGTATTAGCTATTACTAAATGTTTGCAAACTAAGCAACGAGGTTTGTTACATTTGTAATTTCCTGTTTGGTTTCTATTGTTTAGATATTTGGTAGAGGTGAGGATAGCTGATAAGTTAGGTGATTGTTTCATTGCATTTATGGGTGGTTTATCGAAAATGTCTTTGATCTTGTTGTCTAATTGGAGGTTCTTGTAATCATTTTTTAAATTGTGAATAAGTGTGTGGGAATATTGATTGTGGTTAAAAACCATGGGAATCCGATTGTTGTTTTTATTTTTCTTGTATGTGAGAAGTGTGTTACGATTTATATATATATATATATATATATATATATATATATAGCATAATGAGAAGCCACGTATACTTTCTTAATATGTATATATAGAAAAAGTTTCAAATTAAAAATTATAATGTTTTATTTTATGAAAGTATTTATTTATTTATATATATATTGATATTTCAAATTGTCCTCAATTTTTCATCAGAAATAACTATTTGTTACAAATAAATTAAAATTACTGTTTGTTCGCAAGTAGCGTCCTTCGCGAGACGCGGACGTCACGTGATATGGAACGTCACTGTTCGGATATTCCTAAAGATAAACTAGATTAGTTCGGATATTTTTTAAAGATAAACTAGATTACATAAACTAGGGTTGAATAGGGACTTAGGTGTTTTAAATCTTTATAAATATTTCAATAGTTAAGCAATTTTTTTTAGATATAGTAAAAAAAATTTTTTTTAAATATTTATGACAGTTAGATTTAAGTTGGGAATATCCGAACAGTGACGTTCCATATCACGTGACGTCCGCGTCTCGCGAAGGACGATACTTGCTAACAAACAGTAATTTTAATTTATTTGTGAAACAGTTATTTCTGATGAAAAATTGAGGACAATTTGAAATATCAATACATATATAAATAAATAAATTTAAAATTTCAGTTATCTGTTTGAATTAGTTGGGCTCTTATGTCCATCGTCTTTTGTGTTAAATTGTTATAAGTTATAATGTTAATTATGTTTAAATGAAAATGTCCATGAAGATGGTCTCTAATAGACCGAAACGTCCGACGTCGACTTTATTTTAACATTAATAATGCATATTCAGAATTTTGTTTTTTCTGTATTTTTCTTTCATACTGTCGGATTTATATCCATATATTTGCTTACATATATAAATAAATAAATAAATACTTTCATAAAATAAAAAATTATAATTTTTAATTTGAAATTTTTCTATATATATATATATATATATATATATATATATATATATATATATATAATGTTATATACCGTATTTATGAACAGTAATGGGTATGCCGCAATTCTTATAAATACGTCGGACACTGTTGTAAGTGGGGCTAATATATGCTGTCTATGTAGTCCACCACTAGCAGTGGTTTACCTACTTCACAGCACTGGCGAGTATTGTCTTTTGTTGATGTTATAAAGATTACCATTTCATTTCCAACCTCTGTTTTGGTTATTCACCATTCAGTAACCCTTCCTAGGTTACAACAAATATTATGGCTGTTTGTAAGTAGAATGTATTGGTAATAAACTAGCCGTTTACTGGATTTGAACTCGCATCCTGTAATCTTACAATCCTGTCTGACATTAGACACATCTACGAGTAAAATTCTATAGAAATGGTGAAAATAAGAATAATAGACTTCAAATTGAAAGAAAGAGTCGTAAAAATATAGAGGAAACAAGAATAGAAAAAAGAGAAAATATTTGAGAAAATGGAGAAAAAGTAGAGAAAGGAAATTTAATAGATCATAAAGTAAAGAAAATAAAGTTAATATTTAGAGAAGGGATGTAAGCGTTTTTGATAGTTTTCCTTTTCCCACAATGTCATTTTCATACTGAGAGAATGTGGCAGGTGTTTAGAAACTCAAGTAAACAGATAACATCTCAAAAACATAAACAAAAATTACATTTTTGAAAACCAACAACAAGTAAAAAGAATAATCACAGAGTTGAACAGAAAGAAAAATAAAAAATGGAGCCATGACTTAATAATCATGTTCGTTGCCTTAATATATTAGGTTGTCAAACATGAAATGACGCACTTTATAGGAAATGAGTACAACACTTCCAAAATGTTAAATAATTAATTTATTAGGTTGTTACACATGAAATGACGCACTTTATAGGAAATGAATAGAACACTTCCGAAATGTTAAATAACTAATTTATTAGGTTGTCACACATTAAATGACAGATGCACTTTATAGGAAATGAATAAAACTCCCCTGAAATGTTAAATAACTAATTTATAATGTTGTCACACGTGAAATGACGTAGTTTATAGAACATAAATAAAATGCGTCTGAAATGTTGAATATCTAATTTATCAGGTTGTCACACATAAAATGACAGACGCCCTTTATAGGAAATGAATAAAACTCCCCTGAAATGTTAAATAACTAATTTATAATGTTGTCACACGTGAAATGACGTAGTTTATAGAACATAAATAAAATGCGTCTGAAATGTTGAATATCTAATTTATCAGGTTGTCACACATTAAATGACAGACGCCCTTTATAGGAAATGAATAAAACTCCCCTGAAATGTTAAATAACTAATTTATTAGGTTATCACACGTGAAATGACGCACGTTACAGGAAATGAATAAAACGATTCCGAAATGTTAAGTAACTAAATTATTTACTTGAAATAGACACCAGATTGGCGAAAAAAAATTGATCTCCAACATTTCCGCTAAATTCTTGATTGCATCTTTTAAAAAATTCTCATCCTTTGATATGATAAACAATTTAAATGCTTCGATTAAATCCTTCCTTATTGGAGAATGTTTTGGTTGTGTATGAACAGAACAAACTGCTTAAGTAATTGATAATCCGTAGAAGACATATCAGGTGAATATGCAGGATGATACAAAATTTCATAATTAAGGCTATGCAACAAAACTTGGGCCATCCCTATTTAGAAGTCTAGTGTGTTT